AGAGTGGCCTATCAGATACTTACTGAAACAGCTAACACAGTGGGGTAGGAGCTTGCGGGAAAATTAAATTTAATTATCTGAAATGTTAGAAAACGCAGCCATGGAAGGGAAGTTAAACAGATATTCTCAGTGCTTATGTAGCAACTAGAAAGTCCTTGATTCGAGATTCACAATAGCCATATACTTCCATTTCATGGGACCAGAGAAAAATGAAGTTGAAATCTGAGCCAAGCAAGGCTCTGGGACACTTTCAAGTTCTAAATATTTCCTACATTTTGTTCATGAAGGGTAAGCCCTCAGTGTCACCTCAGGGAAAAATGGTGACAAATCTTTACAAATTCCAATTGCAACCCCAATTCTGTCTCTTTTAATGTCAACACAGAAGACTCTTGTCTCTCCTTTCTTTAGGCTTTGGAAAGCCATGATACAATCAGACTGTTGATTAGTAACCTCTTCACATTTGGGTTAAGGTCTTGACACCCTGTACAGCACATACTGAATGTTCTCATCTCACACAGCTACTGCTTAAGGCAATCCACAGTGTGTTATTATTTTACTTCAGTCTCACACTGTGAACATCTTAAAGGGAAGGGGTTTAGTGGCAGTTAAGTGGCTAAGTCATCCTGTAATGTACATGGGAAGCAAATAACCTCTATATACCTGAAGTCCTCTTGACTTTACCAAAAAAAGTCTAAAAGAGTCTAAAAGCTGATTTTAAGACAACAGGATTGTCCAAGGTGTGGAGCATCCAATGGCCGGGGAAGAGAATGGAATGTATTTTTTGAGCCCATAAGAAGTTCAAATCAACTCCCATGATGCAGGAAATTTTCTTTCTTAGACACTATCACCACCTCTTGTGGTAAACGACACATCAGATGTATTCTTCCGTAGTACTACCAGGAGGTATAAAAAGATCACAAGTGTAGCTAACAATGACAAAGCATGTCCACAGATGGCAGGAAGTGAAAGTATTATGATATACAGGACACATTAGAAACCCAGAATAGAACTTGGAAACAATAAAATAACAGAACACACAGAGGAAGCCAATGTGTAATAACAGAATCATTTAGGTTGGAAAAGATCTCAAAGATCACTGAGTCCAACCCTTGATCGATCGCAACATTGTGAGCTAGATATAGCAGTAAGGGCCACGTCCAGTCGTTTCTTGATCACCTCCAGGGATGGTGACTTCATCACCTCCCTGGGCAGTCTGTTTCAATGCTTAACAACCTTTCTGCTGAAGAAATTCTTCTTGATGTCCAAACTGAGCATCTCCTGGTGGAGCTTGAGACTACGTCCTCTCGTTCTGTTGCTCGTTGTCTGTGAGAACAGGCTGACTACCATCTTGCTGCAACTTCCTTTCAGGTAGCTGTAGAGAACAATAAAGTCTCCTTCGAGCCTCCTTTACTCCAGGGTATACAACTCCAGCTCCCTCAGCCATTTCTCATAGGACTTATTCCCTAATTCCTTCACCAGTTTCACTGTCCTTCTCTGGACACACTCCAGCACCTGTATTGGACAGGACACACCTGTCCTGTATTGGAGGACCCAAAACTGAGCACAGGTTTTGAGGTGTGGCCTCACCAGTGCTGAGTACAGATGGACAATCCCTTCCCTAGTCCTGCTGGCTACACAATTGCTGATACAATGCCATCGGCCTTCTTGGACACTTGGGCACACTGCTGGCTCATGTTCAGCTGCTCTCTACCAGCATGCCCAGATCCTTTTCCACCAGTCAGCTTTCCAGCCACTTTGCCCCCAGCCTGTAGTGCTGCCTGGGGTTGTTGTAACTCAAGAGTAGGAACCAGCACTTAACCTTGTTGAACACTGATGGGAGAAAAAAAGCAATATAGCCAGCAGATCAAAAATACTACTACTACTATTACTACTACTATAAAAACACAGGGGAAAACTACTGAGAAGATGAGAGGCTTGTGCATGGGATGAAGGAAGAACACGTCTGACACTGACACATACGCTTACTAGACATACAGACACATATGCTTACAAGAGATCTGGTGGACAACAAACTGTTTTGGTTTATACATCAAATCAGAAGGAAATGGGTTTATTTCTGTCTTACTGCTTTTGTGAATCCCAGGAGTAACTTCTAAGCAATTTGTTTCTTTGCTTTGTGACAGGGATTTAATCCTAGCAAATTTGTTTGGGTGTTCTACTGGTAAACATACACAGTGTATTTTTTAAACAATGTTTGTTTCTGCTAATTGTTTTTAATGGACTTACATACCTGAAAAAACTCTACTTGCAAGCATAAATACACAAGAGGCTTTTCTAAAGACTCATACACATTGATTCACAATACTAAAAGATTTTGCAGAAATCCATAGTATGAACTATAATAAATTCACCAAACCTGCAAAAACTCACGGTAAATTGCTAAACATACTGAGCTTGAAAAATAACCAATCAACTAGTACCTGTATCTTTTGCAAAACAAGGTACTAGGAATTTGCTTTCATAGCTACTTAATAATTATTCCCTACTATTTTTAATGCTACTTAAAAGATCCACTATGGTAACAATTTAATTAGAAGTAGGTCAAAACTATGGTATTCAGCACAATCTGATCTGAGTTAGCATCAGATCATCATTTCCTACTTTGGAAAGTAAGTAATTCTATTTTTAACCTCTAAGGTAAGCACACAAAATACATACATTTACTTCAACTTTAAAACAAGTATCACCAGTTGTGGAAACAAAGTTAGGACCTACAAACACAAGAAATTCAAAATATAAGACAAGCTCTGCTTCAGCTTCTACTTAACTTGCTGTTTGTTTCAGTACAGAAACAATGTGAAAATATATTATCAGCAACTTTTCCCTAATATTTTTTCCCCCCAGTTATGCATCCTGAAGTTCTTCACTTTATGTAACATTCTACTTGTTTTCTTACCACATAAAACCAAAACACAGCATGGTATTGTGGTGGTTTTGAGCTGGCTCTCTGCCAAGTCTCCTAACCCCACCGCAAGAGCTCCCCCCCACCCAAAACCAAGGGAAAAGAAAAAAAAACCCAAGAGAACCAAAAAAAAGAGAGAGGGAGAGAGCTGGAGCAATATATATAAATATATTTACACTTATATTACATTTATATACAATTACAAAAACTATATACACATAAAAAACCCCTCAAAAACCAACACCCAAAAACAGAAAAGGGAAGGGAAAAGGGATAAAACAAAAAAAAAAAACAAACCAAAACCAGGTATACACGCTCAATAAAGAACTAGCCAAATAAAACCTTAATACTTTCCTTGAGATAGCACAATCATGCCAAATGCCGCCACCACGCTATTGGACTCCGGATCAGCAGAAAACAACAGGCCCTGTAGGCCAAGCCAGGCCCCAGCTCCCCCACAGAAGCAGGACCGGCTGCAGGGATCTGCTGTCTCCAAACCTCACCAGAAGGGAAGAGAGAAAGAGGGTTCTTTCTCTGTCTATTTATATGTTTAGATTACATAAAGGAATAGGATGGAATACTTTCTTTCTTCCTTCCTGGAAGGCCTAATACTTAAAACCATTATAGGTATCTTTAGGAACAGTGAGAATCCAAATAATACAAGGGAGATGCCACATAAGAGTGCTTTGCACCCCTCTACACCAAAATACACATACACAAATCTTGGATTGGAAAGGTAACCATGACAGAGAACTGCACAGGACAACAGAAACCCTATGCACCAGGCAAGAAGAAAAATATGGTGTGGTGGTAACATTGCAGCAAATCTGAGAAGACCTATGTCATGCATCCATAGGTTTTCAGCTGCCTAAACTGTATCAGCAGGATCCTAGCAAGTTTATCTTGACTAACTCACTTAAAAAGTGCTGTGCTAGATAAGGATCATCAAACTACTGTGCAGACAAATGTCATCCCAGTCTTGTCATGTGGGTAGCCCTGCTTCAGTGAGCTTAATAGGAGGCTCCTGGTGCCTTTGTATTCCTCTGCACTTTCCTCAATAAGAGGCTTCCATTCCTGTACACATGCCAAATGGCGACTGGAATTATATCATCAGAACAATTTTTTTTCATAGTTAATACAAGAACTCATGCAGAATCATAGATACTCATAGATATTTTTCCACAGCTTTAATAACAAACTATGCTGTGTTTTGTAACATTGATCAACATCAAAAGGCCATCACCTATTATCCATTTGACAGCAGAGGAGAAATTTTATCAGAAATATAGCTACATTACTCAAGAGTAACTAAAGTTCATGGAGTGACTCTTCAGGCCAACCTCAAGTTACAATGACAAGTTTCACAATGTTGTTTAATCAGATTCCTGTCCCAAGAAATGAAAGGTATAATATTTCAGACATTATTTAGTCACATATGCACTTTTATTATTGTTGATCTAGAACAAACACAGCTTAACCTCAAGTGCTTTCTTACAGCCATGTTCTTTAACTTTAGACTTTCTTTCCACAATAGAAAGGTAGTTCAGTATAATACAAGTTCCCAAGTACTTGCTTAGTACTGTTTACCTTACCATCAGGAGTGCAATCTGGGAGGGAAAGGGGAAACCCGGGAAAAAACCCCAGGAGTTCTGGGGCATTACGATTTTATTAATTTTATGGAGCATGCCTTTGACTGCACAGTATTCACTACTATCACACTACATGAAAGTATTTGTGTCCACCTTGCATTTGTCATTGTATGTCAGAAGAGAATAAGAGCTTGAAGAGGTTTAACAAAACCCCCCAAAAACATTAACTATATCCCTAGTTAGAATCTTAGTTTAAGACTTTGAATCATCACAGACTCCTACTCTGTGAAACAAGTGCAGATAAAATCCTAAACTAGAGGTACTTCACTCCTTAATTCAATCTAGTAAGTGTATATTCAGGTATGTTTGTGCTGCATACAAATATGTACATACAAATATGTACACAGGCATACAGTATAAGAAGCTAAAAATTACTTCGTTAGAAACATAAAATTATAAATAGTTGTTTGTAGCCACCATGTACTTACTATTTAGTTGAATCTGATAACTGATATTCCCGTCGTCTATCGTAACACTCCTGAATTCCAGGGTCATTCCATAAACTTCTTATTGCATCTACATACGGGTTCTCAAAACTTGACACCTTCTCTACATCGACTTCTCGAACTAATAGTGCATGAACCTAATTCAGAACAAACAACACAGTAAAATTTACTTCATTTTCTATGTTTGCAGAAAGCTCATATACAGTGAACAAGATTAACAGGAATAATTCTTTGCATTGGTCATATCACCAATATGTACGTGCAATTTGAAAAACGAAGTACCATGAAGATGGTTGTGAAGATGAAAAAAGGAGATAACCATCCTAGAGAGCTGAAGTTGCTCCCAAGCAAATTGTATCTTCTTAAGACTTCTTTCTTTTGGGACACAATAATTGTTACCAAAACATTGAAACAAAGAAAAAAATCAAAATGACAGACAAAACTGAAGGATTCCGTAAGTACCACCAAATTCAAAGTGGTCATTAAGCTCTAATGACTGCTAGTTCAGCTCTAACATTCCACAAGCAAAATTCAGATGGTGTAGGTGACTTTTCAGTCCAATACACTTTTGACAGCAGCAGTCGACATTTTCCATGGTCTTCTGGGAATATAAGACCACTTGTAACAGTTTCCACATTATTTGCCAGAAATCTTACAAACACTTAGTCAATTCTTTTTAGCAAACCATATCTCCTTCATCTAGGATCTTTTTCATTCATTTCTCGAGTATTAAAAAAAATATTCCAGAATAAGAAAACTGGAATTTTTGAGAATGGTATTTGATTCTGAAACCATGAAATCTGAACCTGAGGAGACACCAAAATAGCTATCATGTCTCCTTCCTCATTCCCTTCAGAAAATTGCTGTTAAAATAGTGTTAAAAACTGATTCTGAGCTTCAACAGTGTTATAGTTTTACGCTGGTCTTTCTGAAAATACTCTTTTGCCCATCATCCTTTGTACACTTATGAAAGTGTATTTTTTTTATCTCTAGGCCTAATCATCTGAGTCTTTTTCTTATTACCTTCATAATTTTTTGAAAGGTCTAATGTTTCTTAGGGTCTAACTGGGCCAGCCAAAGAATCTGATCTTGTATTGCCCTCTTTAGATGAATCAACCATTTGGAGACTTACAACAGTGGATACAATCAGTGTATCAACCAACAAAAAAGGTGCATATTTTTATATTCCTTTTGATACAACCTATGTAATTTTCCCAAAACAGCACTCCAACCTACCAGAATGAGGGGGATCAGGCAGAAATGCAGTCTATTTCAAAAGAAACTCTTCTGGGATCTTAAATCCATGGGAGAAAACAATATGCTTGAGACCCAGCAGGCAAGGTTGCATCACAGCAATGATCTCTTGACTAGCTGAATTTAAGGTGCCCATTTAAAGAACTCTCTGACATAAGAGGAAACATCTTCCATTTTGTAGACAAATTTCCCAACCCAGCCAGAAAAGGCCTGTGGTTGCTGTGCTTGGCTGTCAGTAAGGAGAGGATCAAGCATAGTGATATCTGTTAAGCCTGGATAGTATAGTTTACACTATACTGCAAAATTGAGAGCAATGGCATGTGACCAGGTCCAAGTAGTCCAGGAACTGAATGGAAGTCATCACAAAGACACCATCATGACCATACATTTGTCTCTTTTGTGGAGGATGAGGGTGGGGAATCTTGATAATGTAGTTTGAAAGCAGAAATGATTATTTATGTCATTTCAAAAACATGAGATTCAAAAATTCACAGATTTGACCTTGGTAACTTGTAATCTCTAAGTGTGGTCCATACAAATACTTTGCCTTACAGGGCTGCACAGCAAGCTATTCTGCTTTAGAGACTGCAGATACTTGAAGCAGATGTAACACTGTGGTGGTGCATTAACTACCCCCCAACCCTCAACTCCACACCTCTGTCTCAGGAATGCTCTTACTGAGCTTATCAGAAACACTGTCCATTCCCAGGAACTTAGTGTTGCCTAACAAACCTGGAACATTATTTGCCTTTTGCCTGAATCACAGCCCAAGTGGAAAAATACTGTTGTTACTTTTGAGGAAAATTCTAGTAATTACTGACCTACATGGAGACTGACAGATGACTGCAGCCAATCATCTCACCCAAAGGAAGGCATGGGAGGTGGGTGCAATTTAAATACACAATTTAGATCTCCATAAATGTACTTAAGTTTCATTTATCCTACCATGCTATCCTAAATTTTCCAATCCACTTTTTACAAACAAAGGGTTTTAATAACAGTTAAAAGTTTTTTTTCGATGGCAGGTCGAAGAGTAAAAAGTTATCTTCCTCTCTGATACCTAATTCACTCATAGTGAATAACTGTTAGGTTAGAAAGCTAGCTAAGTTAGAAAATTAAGTATGTAAAAATATGGTTTCCCTTCATCAAACAAGAGATGCCTTACTATGAGATGGAACATATGTGTTGGTTATTTACGGAAAGGAAAGCTATGGGATGGTGTGATTACAGTAGCGCAGTCTGGATACTGTTCAGAAATAAACAGATCTAAAGAGCCCAAAGCTAACACATACTTGTTCTCCCATGGCAAAGCAGAGCATGAGGCAAGAGCTTTTACCACTATTCACCCCTTTCCTCTCAAAACCCCATACCTACTGTAATGCTTTCATCACCTGAAACAACTTCTTCAGCAAACACTTCTGGCAATCAAACTCTACAGAAAAAGCCAAATTTTCCAAACAAAGGAGAAAGTAGGAAAAGCATGGGGGAAAAGAGAAATGAAGCATCTATTAGCTATTCCTTCTCTTTCAAAAGGACAAAGAGGCAGACGAAATAAACTGAATCACTTACAGTGATTTTAGGTAACTTCTACTTTTAAAGTCTTTGCTGTTTCTTCCTTTATGAAGAAGGTTAGGTTTTGGATATTTATTCTAGTTTTGTTCATAGTAATTCTAGGCAGAGCAATTTACAAGAAAACTCTGGTAGAAGAACTGACAACTCAAAATTTAACATGACAAAAATCTTCCTGAATTCATATATCTAAATTGCAAGTACTGACTTAGTTTTTTATTATATAGCACTGTATTTTAACAGTGTAAAACACTACACAAGTACCACTAAGTGCAGTTAAATAAAACTCCCACAACACCGTCAACATTTCCAACAGAGAAAGTGTAATCATATTAGTGGTCAATTAACAGCAACTACTGCTAAGTTATTACTACATTTGAGACTAAGATTTAGCCCTGTAAGAGAAAGTAATTGTTACCTCCAAATGGTAACAACTCTTTTATAATTATTTCTTATGAGGTTACTGACAGAGTACAAAACCTGATGTGTCTACAACAAGCCACAGGTATGTTAAATGTTGTATCATACCATGCCACTCTGATGCCCATACACGAACACCTACTCACACTTCTTCACACATCCCAGAATCTAAACTATCACTTCAATTTAGAGGAGTACCTCTGTGATTTCCTGAAGGGAATTTTCCTTCAAGTAACAGGTTTCACAGCTTTAGCATAGCTTTCCACACCCAGCTAATTTAGGTCCAGTTCCCAAATGTACAAATTAAACCCTTACCTTAGAAAAGTTTGAAGGAAAAATAAGAATGTCTTTCGTTGTAAGACCCAGGAAGCTTCCCCAATAAAAGTAAAGACACTGCCTTTTTATCTTGCTACTAGTATTTATTTTTTTTTCCCAGTTGTGTTTCTTCTCTGTTTCAAGGAAGGGGTTTTTTTGTTTTTGTTCTAATGTGCTATTTAAATGTACTATAAATGTACTATTTAATTTCAAGAGAATTGTTTTAGAACAATATGCCTTCAGAATGGGAAAGAGGGTAATTATGAAGAAGAACTATATAGTTTTACTACTTCCTTTAATCAAAACACAGCAGAATTATACATTTCAAGCAGATATGATGTTCATTCTGCCTAAACACACAATATATGGAAAGCATGGATTGCTGCGCATTTGTAAAATCTACACTAGTCACACAAGAATACCCAATGAAGCCACATGACTTTTGCATCCTGATATTATGAGGGTGAGGAAGGAACTGATTTAAGACTTTAGGAAAAGGATTTGTTGAATTTATTTTTGCAGTAATAGGAAAACGATGGGATAGCCAAAGGTACTTGGAGATATCTGATCCTACACAACCTACTTCAACAGCGCAACACGCTGAAAAAGTTCTAACAACTCAGCACTATTATTAAGAAAAAGGTTCATACTTTCTCTGTTCTTTGGCACTTCAGGACTACATTAATGGTGATTAGATTTGCACAAGACCTCCTTTCCATCAATGGGTTGACATTTCACTACCATGAAGCACTTGCATTCTTCAGCTATTTGTGTGCATTTAAATTAAGTTGAGTTTTACTAAGTTACTCTAATATTTTCCTGACCTACCACAGTGGTTAACTATGATAACAACAGCAGTTAGCCGAATAAGCTGAGGAAATAAAAACATTTAATGCCAAATAGGTCTTTCATCTTTCCAGTAATGGGTCAGTCATCTTTTTTTTCCTGTAAAACAGCGTAAATCTTCAGAACGAAACACTAGCCAAATCTCTGAGGGAAAGCTTCATCAATCAAAAAGCTTCTCTCTTCTGTTGACTTTGTATGGAGCAAAAATGCCCAGAGAGCGTCCCAAATGAAGTCAGAAGACTGGCACATCATCTTCTCCTGGACAATTCATGACCTCATTAAAAATGGAAGGGTAAAGCAACCAACAAGCACATGTTTTTTAATTGCCTGATTTGTGATAAATGTGCAGTGTCAAGGAAGCCCCCACAAACCATGGATACATGAAGATGCTACAAGAAAAGACACATACCTTCTTTTCATTTCCTTTGTTAGTTATTTTATATGTCCCTCTGCTTTGAAGAGCAGGTACCACCTAGGAACTTGAGGGGACAACCACCCCAGAAATATAATACTGCTACAGGCTACTGTTGTCCTGCGACTGAACTGAATTATGAATCAGAAACTGCTATCAAATCTAAAATTTCTCTCAGAAAAAACTCCATACCAGGACTTCAGACATAGCTGACAGTCAGATAAAGAAAAAAACAGATTCAACAGCAGAAACTAAGACAAAAATCATCTGTCTGCTGCCAAATGTCTGCCAATGGTGGTTTTTTTTGTGAAGCCCCCAGAA